GAAGAATCAATATTATCAAAATGACTATACTACCCAAGGCAACCTACAGATTCAATGCAATCCCTATCAAATTTCCAATGGCATTTTTCACAGAGTTAGATCAAAATATTTTTAAATTTGTATGGAAATACAAAAGACTCCAAATAGCCAAAGCAATCCTGAGAAAGAAAAATGGAGCTGGAGGAATCAGGCTCCTTGACTTCAGACTATACTACAAAGCTACAGTAATCAAAACAGTATGGTACTGGTGCAAAGCAGAAATATAGATCAATGGAACAGGACAGAAAGCCCAGAAATAAACCCACGCACATACGGTCAACGTATGACAAAGCAGGCAAGAATATACAATGGATTCAATAAGTGGTGCTGGGAGAACTGGACAGCTACATGTGAAGGAATGAAATTAGATCATTCTTTAACACCATACACAAAAATAAACTCAAAATGGATCAAAGACTTAAATGTAAGGCCGGACACTATAAAACTCTTAGAGGAAAACATAGGCAACACTCTTTGAACATAAATCGCAGCAATAACTTTTTGGATCCACCTCCTAGGGAACATATATCTCAACATAATAAAAGCCATTTATGACAAACCCACAGCCAATATAATACTCAACAGTGAAAAGCAAAAAGCCTTCCTACTAAATTCAGGAACAAGAAAAGGATGCCCACTCTCACCACTTCTATTCAACATAGTATTGGAAGTCCTAGCCACAGCAATCAGACAAGGAAAAAAAAAAGGTATCCAAATTGGAAGAGGTGAAATTGTCACTGTTTGCAGATGACATGATACTATATATATAAAACCCTAAGGACTCCACACAAAAATCACTAGATCAAATAAATGAATTAAAAGCAAAGTAGCAAAATACAAGATTAACATCCAAAAATCAGTTGCATTTCTTTACACTAACAATGAAATATCAGAAAGGGAATGTAAAAAAAAATACCTTTTAAAATACCACCAAAAAAAATACTTCAGAGTAAACCTGACCAAGGAGGTGAAAGACTTACACGCTATCAACTACAAAACATTAATGAATTAAAAAGGATCCAAAGAAATGGAAAGATACCCCATACTCTTGGATTGGAAGAATTAATATTGTTAAAATGGCAATACTACCCAAAGCGATCTACAGATTTAATGCGATCCCTATCAAAATACCCATGACATTTTTCACAGAACTAGAACAATCAAAACTTTATATGGAACCATAAAAGACCCAGAATTGCCAAAGCAATCCTGAAGGAAAAAACAAAAGGAGGCATACCTCTCCCAGAGTTCAAACAATACTACAGAGCCACAGTAATCAAAACAATGTGGTATTGGTACAAAAACAGACATATGGATCAATGGACCAGAATAGAGAGCCCAGAAATAAACCTAGACACCTACAGGCAATTAATCTTCAACAAAGGAGACAAGAATATAAAATAGTAATAAGTCTCTTTAACATGTGGTGCTGGGAAAGTTGGACAGCTGCATGTAAGTCCGTGAAGTTAGAACACACCCTCACACCACGCAAAAAATAAACTCAAAATGGCTTAAAGACTTAAACATAAAACATGACACCATAAAACTTCTAGAACTTGACACCATAACACTTCTAAAACTTCTAGAATTTATTCTCTGACATAAATCATACCAATGTTTTCCTAGGTCAGTCTCCCAAGGCAACAGAAATAAAAATAAACAAACGGGACCATATCAAACTTACAAGCTTTTGCACAGCAAAGGAACCCATATAAAAATGAAAAGACAACCTACAGAATGGGAGAAAATATTTACAAATGATGCAATAGACAAGGGCTTAGTCTCCAAAATATACAAACTGCTTATACAACTCAACAACAAAAACACAAACAACCCAATCGAAAAATGGGCCAAAGACCTTAATAGACATTTCTCCAAAGAAGATGTATGGATGGCCAGTAGACACATGAAAAGATGCTCAACATCACTAATTATTAGAGAAATGCAAATCAAAACTACAATGAGGTACCAACTCACACCAGTCAGAATGGCAGTCATTAAAAAGTCTACAAATAAATGCTGGAGAGGATGTAGAGAAAAGGGAACCCTCCTACACTGCTGGTGGGAATGTAAGTTGGTACAGCCACTATGGAAAACAGTATGGAGATTCCTCAGAAAACTAAAAATAGAATTACCTTGTCATCTAGCAGTCCCACTCCTGGGAATGTACCCAAACAAAACTATAATTCAGAAAGATACATGCGCCCCTATGTTCACAGCAGCACTGTTGACAATAGCTAAAACATGGAAACCTAATGTCCACCAACAGATGAATGGATAAAGAAGATGTGGTACATATATACAATGGAGTACTACTCAGCCATAAAAAAGAACGAAATAATGCCATTTGCATCAACATGGATGCAACTAGAGATTATCATACTAAGTAAGTCAGAAAGGGAAAGACAAATACCATATAATATCACTGATATGTGGAATCTAAAATATGGCACAAATGAACCTATCTACAAAACAGAAACAGGCTCGCAGACACAGAGAACAGACTTGTGGCTGCCAAGGGGGAGGGCATTGGGGGAGGGAAGGACTGGGAGTTTGGGATTAACAGATGTAAACTATTATAGATAGGATGGATAAACAAGGTCCTAATGTATATAACACAGGGAACTATATCCAATCTCCTATGATAAACCATAATGGAAAAGAATATAAAAAAAGAATGCCTGTATGTGTATAACTGAGTCACTTTTGCTGAACAGCAGAGATTGGCATCATATTGTAAATCAACTATACTTAAATAAAAAAATAAAATTAAAAAATAAAAACAAAAATAAACAAATGAGACCGAATTAAACTTAAAAGCTTCTGCACAGCAAAGGAAACCATAAATGAAACGAAAAGACAACCCACAAAATGGGAGAAAATATTTGCAAACAAAGTGACTGACAGGGATTAATTTCCAAAATATACAAACAGCTCATGCAGCTCTATGTGAAAAAACAACAACAACAAAAACCAAACAACCCAATCCAAAAATGGGCAGAAGACCTAAATAGACATATCTCCGAAGGAGACATACAGATGGCCAAAAAGCACATGAAAAGATGCTCAACATCACTAATTATCAGAGATATGCAAATCAAAACTACAGTAAGGTATCACCTACCACCGGTCAGAATGGCCATCATCAAAAAGTCTACAAACAGTTAAGTGCTGGAGAGGGTGTGGAGAAAAGGGAACCCTCCTACACTGTTGGTGGGAATGTAAATTGGTACAACCACTATGGAGAACAGTATGGACGTTCCTTAAAAAACTAAAAATAGAACTACCATATGATCCAGCAATCCCATTCCTTGGCATATATCTGGAGAAAGACACAATTAGAAAATATTCATGCACCCCAATGTTCATTACAGCACTATTTACAACAGCCTAGACATGGAAGCAACCTAAATGGCCATTGACAGAGGAATGGATAAAGAAGATGTGGTACATATATACAATGGAATATTACTCAGCCATAAAAAAGAATAAAATAATGCCATTTGCAGCAACATGGATGAACCTAGAGATTATCACACTAAGTGAAGTAAGTCAGACTGAGAAAAACAAATATCATATGGTATGACTCATGTGGAATCTATTTTTTGAAAATGATACAGATGAACTTATTTACAAAACAGAAACAGACTTACAGGTATTGAAAACTTATGGTTATCAAAGGGGAAATGTGGGCAGGAGGGATAAATCAGGAGTTTGGGATTAATATACATACGCTACTATATATAAGATAAATAACCAACAAGGACCTACTGTATAGCCCAGAGAACTGTACTCAATATTCTGTGATAACCTATATGAGAAAAGAATCTGAAAAAGAATGAATATATGTATATCTGAATCACTCTGCTGTACACCTGAAACTAACACAACATTGCAAATCAACTACACTCCAATAAAACTTTTTAAAGAAATTGCTAAAAATAATGGTCCCTCATATTTTTAAATAAGTTTTAATGAGATGTAATCCACATAGCATAGAATTCATCCTTTTAGAATGTGCAATTCAATAGTTTTTAGTATATTTACAAAGTTGTGCAACCAGCATCACTTATCTAATTTTAGAAAATTTCCCTCACCCCAGAAAGAAACCCTGTACCCCTTAGCAGTCAAACTCCATCCCCTCCTTCTCCTAGGCCCTGGCAACCACTAATGTACTTTTTTTTTTTATTGGAGTATAATTGCTTACAACGGTGTGTTAGTTTCTGCTTTATAACAAAGTGCATCAGCTATACATATACATATATCCCCATATCGCCTCCCTCTGGCGTCTCCCTCCCACCCTCCTTATCCCACCCCTCTAGGTGGTCACAAAGCACCGAGCTGATCTCCCTGTGCTATGTGGCTGCTTCCCACTAGCTATCTATTTTATATTTGGTAGTGTATATATGTCCACGCCACTCTCTAACTTCGTCCCACCTTAACTTTCCCCCTCCCCGTGTCCTCAAGTCCATTCTCTACATCTGCGTTTTTATTCCTGTCCTGCCTCTAGGTTCTTCAGAATCTTTTTTTTTTTTTTTTTGATTCTATATATATATGTTAGCATATGGTATTTGTTTTTCTGACTTACTTCACTCTGTATGACAGACTCTGGGTCTATCCACCTCACTACAAATAACTCAATTTTGTTTCTTTTTATGGCTGAGTAATATTCCATTGTATATATGTGCCACATCTTCTTTATCCATTCATCTGTCAGTGGACACTTAGGTTGCTTCCATGTCCTGGTTATTGTAAATAGAGCTGCAGTGAACATTGTGGTACATGACTCTTTTTGAATTATGGTTTTCTCTCCCTCCCTCATAATATTTAAATGAAATATTCAACTACATTACTGCAGTCTATTTTTAAGTGTTGAAAAGGATTTCCTAGAGTTATCTTACCACGTGAAGCATACGGTAAGTTTTGTTTCATATTCCTGACTGCATTTTCTCATTTCTCAGCCAAACAGGTAGGACTCGTGAGATCGCAGTGGCTTCCAGGAATTATACCCCATACACACGAGTCCTGGAGTTAACCATGAAGAAAACTCTGACTTAAGCACTTGGAGACGTGCACTTTTCACTGATGGACAAAGGCCCTGGAACCCTGCGGCTTGAAGTCTGGAAAGGGTGACTGTTGCTTCGTCCTATACACTGTTTAAGCTGCAGTGGAAACTGCTGAGGTTCTGATCCACTTCTTAAACATGAAGGAAAGTGGAGGGGGAGGGGGAAGGCAGGAGAGAGAGGTTTCAAGGTCATATTTCAAACACCCAACCAGTGTATGTACCCTGCTGTACTGGGCCGTCATTAGCTTTCCATGCGGACACTGAGTCCTATCAGGAGAATTTCCTCACTATTTTCTGTTTTACTAGACTTCGGCTGGGAGGAAATAAGGCATTACCTTGAAATTTCATGTTACTTATTGCCAGGATCATTTGTTACAGCATGAAGGTTTTATTTACCCGTAGAAGTATTAGAGGCGGTGTTTCTCTGCTACAGGGAAGCCTGTCCGCAGGAGTGCAGGCACATGGGGAAATGTGACGCTGGGAAGGAAGGGGCAGGTGCCGAGGACCTGTGCAGGGGTGTGGGAGCCTCGGCTGCAGCCGGTCCTCATGTGGGCAGACACGCTTCATTCTGACGTGCTAACCCCTTGGTTTACTTTGTGCCTTATGCCTTTAAGGGGCCAGCTGAAATCACTGTATTTATTCAACCTGTGATTTATTTTTTCTTTCTTTCTCACTTTAACTGAAAGAGAATTTTATATGTTGTGGAAATTTAATCACTTAATGTTTTTGATATTAATTGGTGTTTTTGTTAAAGGAATGAGTGATTTGTTCAAGCATGCTCTACTTTGATATTATAACCTATGTCACATGTTTAATAAATGCCATATATTTTGTTCTACTGATGCTATCATTGTGTGTCATCCATGA